TAGGCTTTATGAGCTGTAGAAAAGGAGTTATACTTTTTCTCACATCAACTAATTCGTTTCTTTAACAGGGCATTTAGCTAGTATTTTCTGCATGTACCTCCCATCTTCTGCTGGTCTTCGTTTTGTTTTATATTTGGTCTAGTCCAATGTCAGTAATGTCACTTGATATTCTATTTTCTTTGTGCCACCGTTTTTAATGTTTGATAGAATGGTACATAATAAATTTGTTCTTTTACATGTTACAGGCCTTGTTTTATTCTGCACTACGTTGCTCTCGGGAAATGCTTGCTATAAATGATGGTTCAAAGAATTTGGTAAGAGCCATCAACAATAGACTTAGTGCGTTGTCGTTCCATATCAGGGAATATTACTGGGTGGACATGAAAAAGATCAATGAGATCTATCGTTATAAAACGGAAGAGTACTCCATGGATGCTACAAACAAGTTCAATATTTATCCTGAACAAATTCCTCCATGGCTTATGGATTGGATACCAGAAGAAGGTGGATATCTGATAGGCAACCTACAGCCAGCACACATGGACTTTAGGTTCTTCACACTAGGAAACCTTTGGTCCATTGTTTCATCTCTGGGCACTCCAAAGCAGAATGAAGCTATCTTAAATCTAATTGAAGCCAAATGGGATGATATTGTGGGGCATATGCCTCTTAAAATATGTTATCCTGCATTGGAGTATGAGGAATGGCGTATAATTACTGGAAGTGATCCAAAGAATACGTAAGTCCCAAGCACCATTGGTGGGGTTTTTTTTTCTCTTTTTCTTTCCTTGAGATGCAATCCTGCAATCTGTTAAAAATTACTTGGCATGACTGAGAGATGAAATTTGATGGTTGTTGCAGCCCTTGGTCATACCATAACGGCGGATCTTGGCCTACACTTTTATGGCAGGTAAGCATTTTCAGTGACTGGAATCTTTTCTTACTCTTCAGAAGCTTGGATATGCAAATAAAATTTTTTACTCCAAGAACCATTGAGTCTGATTGTCTATCCTGAGAGCCATATGTGATTTGTGTGCTTTGGTTGGCCTTCACTCTGCATTTGTTGGACTTATCATTTTCATGAGTCTGTTAGCAGGGGCCAGCTGGGTGATGTGTCAGGCTAGATGGGAATTAACCTTATGATGGCGGAAAAAGATGATTTAAATTCATATCACTATTCCAAACCCATCCTCAACCCCTAAGTGACATCAAATGCAGATGGTAGTTACAAAACAAAATTACATGGAAGTGCACATTATTCTCGGAATATCATTATTTCTTGGCATATGGCTGACTTGTTTTGTTTCTTTAAATGGGGGGAGGGGGAAGAAATTGCATTCATCCTTTTGTATCTTGTTTGCCAGAGTTGTTTAACTGATCTGCTCTAATACACTCTTACATGTATTGTTCAGTTCACATTGGCATGCATCAAGATGGGTAGATTAGAATTAGCTCAGAAGGCAGTTGCTTTGGCTGAGAAAAGCTTGCACCGACCGCTGGCCTGATACTACGACACTCGAACTGGAAAGTTTATTGGAAAGCAATCCAGATTATACCCAAACATGGACAATTGCTGGATTCTGACATCTAGAATGCTCTTAGATAATCCAGAGATGGCATCCTTGTTATTCTGGGAGGAAGATTATGAGCTTCTTGAGATTTGTGTTTGTGCACTTAGCAAGACTGGCAAGAGAAAATGCTCCCGTGGTGCTGCTAAGTCCCAGATTCTTGTTTAATGAGAGTCCATTTTTTCAAAGGCAAAAAAGCTGTTGTTCTGTACAGCCACAAGTTTAGGAAAGAAATAGAGGAATATGATTAAAAGAGCAAATTTGAAGCTCAAAATGTAGAATACACATTATTTGTGTTACACATATTCTACTGTAAAAATAGCTACGGAGATCAATTAACAAGTTGATCACCATACTCTCATATTGAGTGAGGGGAGGCTCATTAGTAATGCCTCCCGAGAGATTGTTTGTACATTATTTGACCATGCCTTGCATGCTCTTCTCTCCAGTTTGTTTCAAATCCTCCCTTAAAGTAATCTTTTCTGTGTTGATTGACCTAATTTCTTCGATTGGCAGTAGTTTATCTGTATCATTGGTGAATGATTATTTGTAAAACAATTAAGATCCAAGTATAGAATCTTTAACTACATTCGGAGATAGTTACGCAACAACCCAGAAAATTATTGGCTCATCATTTACATCTCTAATTGCTTGGAGTGCTTTGAAGAACTAAATTCTCAAACAGATGAATAAAAATTCATAGGAAAAGTGAAATGGTAAAAGTACATAGAAGGTTAATTCAATTTTTGTTTTTTAGAAAGAAGTAATCCTTCTAAGTCGGACTGCTTTCTGGTTTCACTTTACATAGATTTAAGCCGTAAGAACAAACAGTAATGAAGAGAATTACTTACAAAAATATAAAATTTTAAGATGTTATAACTTTGCATTTGAGTATTCTGAAATACTTATCCCATGGTCAAGATAACTTTCAAGTACAACACATACCTCGAAAATAATCATAAAATTTAAAAACAATGTAATGATCTATAAAACTATACACTATATTTCATGAAGAAAATCAAAATTTTGCCCCCAAGTATTTTGCTCCAAGTGTACATTATGGATGAATTTTTTCTTACCATTCCAATAAAATTGACAAAAAAAAAAAAGAAAACTAAGAAATTTATGAACTGCATATCATGGTTTCAGAACACTATCAATTTGGTACAATTTTTCTTTGAGGGCATAAGGCTGGCTGGGCCTCGTCTGACCCATCTGATATCTCTTTCAAAACATCAGATTCAGTTAGCATATGGTTCTAAGAGAGAGAAAGTCTTCAACTTTTCTCTTCCTCAAAAAGAAAGTCTTCAACTTTAGTCGCAGTTAGAACAAAAAAAGGAAAACAATAAATCACGAAAGACTGCTGTCTGGTTATGGCGGAACTCGCAGCCAACTTCTTAGAAAATGATGATAATCAACTTGGAAGGGCTAATTATCTGATGAATATGCACTAAAATATGACCAGAACGGGATTATCATCTACTACGACCTTTAATTCAATCCCATTTGCCATACGGAAATCTCTGCAATGGGCTCATGACAAGTTTTCCCAATCAACCTCATCCTTCTCATTCCCTCCCAAGGGATCCAGGGGACCCTCTATTTTAGCCACAAATCTCATGAAGTCCTATTTTGGCAAGGGTCTGATTCGGGAGGCACGTATCCTGTTTGATGAATTGCCTGACAAGGATGTTATTACATGGACCGCCATGATTGCAGGCTACACTTCTTGCAACTACAACACCCATGCATGGAGTACCTTCTGTGAGATGGTGAAGAATGGAACAGACCCAAATGAGTATACCTTGTCGAATGTGTTGAAGGCTTGTAAAGGCATGAAGTATCTTGCTTGTGGTGCTTTGGTTCATGGGTTGGCTATTAAACGTGGAATGGTGGGGTCGTTGTACGTTGAAAATGCTCTCATGGACATGTATGCTACTTGTTGTGTTACCATGGACAATGCGTGTATGATTTTTGGAGATATTGAGGAGAAAACGGCTGTATCGTGGACGACTTTCATCACTGGCTACACTCATAGAGGTGATGGCTATGGAGGTCTTCAAATCTTCAGGCAAATGTTGCTGGTAAGTGGTGATTCAAGATAGTTGGGTTCTTAAACAATTCCATATTCTATGTGCATTAAAATTCTTGTCTATCACTTCCTCTTTGTCGTTTCTAGTCTCAGGAATCCTATCCTATATATAGGTATTACTTTTCAACGCATTTATCAACCACAAAAACCCTAATATAAAGCAGATATATATCTGTGTGTGTATTTGGTCCTCAAGGATTCCCCATTCAGTGGGTAGTCCCATTGTTAGCTGTCTACGTTGAAGCAGTCCCGATATTTTTTTCCTACACTTTACATGATAGAGTCTGGATGCATAAATTTCCTGTGTTTTATGTTAAACAGGAGGAGGCAGAGTTAAACGTATATTGTTTTTCAATTGCAGTTAGAGCTTGCAGTTCAATTGGCTCTCTTACTATTGGCAAGCAATTGCATGCATCGGTTACCAAACATGGGTTTGGATGTAATCTTCCTATCATGAATTCTATATTAGACATGTATTGCAGGTGTGGTTATTTCTCGGATGTTAACCAATACTTCCAAGAGATGACGGAGAAAGATTTGATCACCTGGAACACTGTAATTGCTGGATATGAGAGACTGGACAGTAGTGAATCTCTCCGTATATTTTCGAAAATGGAGTCAGAAGGTCTTAGTCCAAATTGCTTCACATTTACAAGTGTTACAGCTGCCTGTGCGAATTTAGCTGCTCTAAGTTGTGGACAACAGGTCCATGGAGGGATTTTGTGCGGAGGCCTTGATGGGAACTTGGCCTTGGCTAATGCCTTGATAGATATGTATGCCAAGTGTGGAAGCATTGAAGACTCCCACAAAATTTTCAGTGAAATGATAGAAAGAGATTTATTATCTTGGACTTCCATGATGATTGGATATGGAGCCCATGGATATGGAATAGAGGCTGTTAATTTATTTGAAAAGATGGTTAAGTCAGATATTAAACCTGATCATATTGTGTTTGTGGCAATTCTGAATGCTTGCAGCCATGCTGGACTAGTGGATGAAGGCTTGAAGTATTTGAAACTAATGATGAGTTATTACAATATAAGGCCAGACAGAGAGATATATGGTTGTGTTGTGGATTTGCTAGGCCGTGCAGGGAGAGTTCAGGAGGCTTATCAACTTATAGAAAATATGCCCTTCAAGCCTGATGAATCTATATGGGGCGCCCTTCTTGGGGCTTGTAAAGAACATAAGCTGACATATTTGGGCAAAATGGCCGCTCTTAGGGTTTTAGATTTGAGGCCTAATATGGGTGAAACTTATGTTGTCCTTTCAAATATTTATGCAGCTGAAGGAAAGTGGGGAGAGTTTGCAAAAACACGGAAGTTAATGAGAGTAATGGGGAACAAAAAAGAAGTTGGGAGGAGCTGGATTGAAGTAAGAAACCAGATTTATAGTTTTGTTGTCGGTGATAAGATGGGTTCTCATGTAAAGTGCGTGTATGCAGTTTTAGGATTGCTGATACGGCATATGAAGGAGGTGGGTTACGTACCTGATTTAGATTGTTGGATGCATGACCTAGAAGATGGAACTTGAATAGAAGCTGGAGCTAAGGACTCGAGGATAACTTCATGTTTTAGGATGAATTTGATTAGAGAAAAAGTGGTTGGTCAACGAAAAATCATATGGAATGTTCCGGATGTAGAATTCTTTTTGACCAATCTCATCCAACAAAAAATCATATGGCTGACTACACATCCAACCAGTTTGAAGAAGAGCATAGTTTTCTACTTTATTCATTTATGATGAGACTTTTTCGTCACCACATGAAAGGATGACAAAGTTGGGTCTTATTTGGAACCAGAAAATAAAATCTCAGTGTAGTGTGTAACTGCAGAAATATAAACTCCATTTTCTCCTCTCTTTCCTGCTCAAATTTTTCTTGAACCTGTAAGTTAAAAATGTGATTTTGTCTCCATTAATAGATATAAAATATTTTCATGTCTATGCAGGAGAATGAAAAGAACAAGAAAAATAATAATCTATAATCAGCATATAGTTGTAAAAGAAGTCATCACAATACAATGCTTTACATTGGCCTCCAAATTATT